CTCTCGCCCCCCCGCCCCCCAAAATCCACTGTTGAGGCTCTGAGATGCAGTTGCTATGGCAACTATGATAGAAATAGACATGTATCTGCAAAGGAATGATAAATGTATTGAACTGTTGTTTAGAAACCAGGAGAGATTTCACTCTTGTGATTGACAGGTTAAACGAGTGACTGCGCACGGATGTGTACACTTGTGTTCCCACTGCGTGTGTTGCTGCATTTCAGACTGGACTTTTGCGATTGTGTACCTGTATGTCTTTGTTTGTGCGTGTGTGGTTTCTATGTATGTATGCATGCTGTGATGAATGTGTGTGTCTGTGCACGTGCTGCAGTACATTAAAAGTGCAGCACCACGGATGGGGGGCACAGGGCACATCATTATGACAGTGGGAGAGTGGGAGTGGGTCTGCACTGCACTCACTGGCCCTGTGTGAGAGCAGATAAGCTCAGGCAGAGACAACACAGTAAATTAATGGCAGAACGGCTCTGCTTGTACTGTAGCACCTCCTTTGTTGTTCTGACCATGATGATGTTCTGTGCATGTTGTGTCAAATATTAACCAAGGACCAGATATTGTGGTGATGATTTAAGTGGCTTTTTTTTTTGTGGGACAAACAATTTATCTGCACTGCGTTTCAGCACTGAAATACCACAATAAACTTAATCCACTGCACTGCAATCTTCCTCTAATGCTGGCAAATCTGTTTGCTCTCAAATTGGCTTTTATCTGTTATTGACTTATTCATTTCAGACATAACCCACCATTCAATTCAAGGCTCTCCATATTGCCTTTGTACCCTGCTGCCTTCATTAGGCTATCCTAATTCACTTTCACTGTGAGATGAAACAAGAACAAAGGAGCTGTGGCAACACGCACAGACCAGACATGCACAAAATGCATTTGCAATATTAAAATAATTTTAGATTTGATGGTGTAAATGGGTGAAAATCAGTGAAACAGCTAAAGCTTCAGAGAGGGAGGGGAGATGAGGGATGTGATGGAGAGAGATGAGGGAGGGGGTGCAGGAATATGAGTGTGTATGCATTTTCAAGGCGGTCTTTCTCTTGCAAGAAAAAAACTGTGGTCTAACAGGAAAACGAAGAGGTCGAGCTACTGATGAAGGCATGCAAATGAAATTTAGTGACTGAAAGTGACGCTGGAGATCTTCATGTGCTAGCGGAGGCTTGTGTGACAACAATGTGTTTAATTTTAGCTCGATAGGTGGAATCACCTCAGCGGTGTGTGAAAGAGGGAGAGAGGCGAGGGAACAAGAGGGGAGGGGGCGGGGGTGTATGGACCTCACTGGTTACGGGACCCACAGGCACCCCGATTGTGCTCTGCTCTCATCATTTTTGGAGGTGAGGACAAA